AGTTATATAATAAGTGATCCGGAGCATTTAGAAATAAATGTGAAAATGCAGTACATTATTTTTATTGTTTGTTGTATACAAGAGAATCAGTTCTCCAAACCTTCCTGATTGAGGACAATGAAATCATTTTCTATATATTTAAAATCAACGTATAAAATAGTAAAAGATTTTAGGGTCTCTAGTATACAACACGATAGCCATTATCGTCTCATCTCTCTTTCTTATTTTTCTCAAAATCTCTTTCCTTCCATCTCTGTTTCTATAGATACTTGTGATAAATATGTTTGTTATTGTCATCATATAATTTGTATAATGAAATACATTAAAGAAGATTTTTCTAGGTCGAGATAACTTATGTCCGATCTTTTTTGTTGTATGACAAATGTTTAAAACAAGACTTGGGCGAGAGGTCGTAGGGGATGTGTGTTGCACCATCAGAATCGATAATCGGTTTGCAATCGGAAGTAGTAAACCAATCGATGATTGATTGTATAATCTGTTTATCATTTTATGGGACTGAATACCCAAATAAAGTGACACTTTACATTAGGTTTCGTTCTTTAATAGTTTCGTTCTTTTATAATGAATGGATTTCAAGCAGTTTTTATGCACTTTTATCAATCATAGAATAAAAGTCATAGGAATATATGACTTTCAATACATTTTTTTACATTGAACACAATAACAATTTGATTTCAATGATGAACTGATTATAACAATAATGGAGTTTGTAATCGATAATTGGAATCGGAAAGGTCAAACTGAACGATCTTCGATTATAATCGATCATCAGCCAATTACTTACTAGGCACCAGACGACTAACGTCGATAGTCAGTTTCATCAAATGACAGCTATTTCTCAGCTGTTTAGAGCTGATGATCCTAAACATTTCTCATACAAATATCATACAGATGTCAGGAGGTATATAAATAACAAATATCATACAGATGTCAGGAGGTATATAAATAACAAATATCATACAGATGTCAGGAGGTACATATATAAATAACACCTGTGTACAGGAAGATAGTTTATTAGATAAAACATTACATGTATATGATGATATATTAAAGCGTATAACATGCATGCACAGTAATCAAATAAGGTGTTAAGATGTCATCGGGATAAAACTGGGACATAAATGCATGTATTTTATTCTATAGAGCTACTAAGGTAAGGCAAGATAACACAACAAAAATAACTGGATAAAATGAACTGATTCATAAACAGAATTTTCTTTTAAAAACCCCCCAGATTATACACTAACAAATGAAAATGACATTTTTTTTTTAGAAAAGTTAAACAATAAATTGGCATTTTTTGTGGGTTCTATTGACATGTTGTTTCAGACCCATGGATTAAGTTGTCGGGGCTATATTGCATGTACAGCTATGGACTTTTTGTTTAAACCATCTAATCAAAGACCTTGAAGGTTTTAATTAACAATTATGGTCTTTTTGTCCAAACCTTTTAAACAGTTATGGACTTTTTGTCCAAACCATCTAATCAAAAACCTTGAAGGTTTGTTAAACAGTTATGGACTTTAGTGATGGTAAATATGATGTGATGTAAACCTTAAAACATGATATTGACCTTGATTTAATCCAAGTTAATATCATTGTTCAGATTCATATCACATCATTATCACTCAAAATTTCATAATTATACAATAGTACAGGTTTACATACTAGATCGTTACATACTATACTGATGCAGGCACGAATATATAGACCATAACAAATATCTTCACAACATACTGTATACCAGTATTTTCGCCCTTCGCCAGAGTAATCTGTATTTGCCCAGTGTTAATTTTGCCCTTCTGGCTTCACATTTTCTTACTATAATAATAATAATAATAAATAATTCAAGGTTCTTATATAGCACTTTACCACATCCTAGTTTGTAGGTCGTCTCAAAGCGGTTCACAGATTATTATCCAGAAGTAATCGGAGTAAAGTATCTTGCTCAAAGATACAACACAGTGCTGTGCCATGACTCGAACCCGCAACCCTCTGGTCATGAGCCGGGCGCCCCACCACTAGACTACCGTGCCTCCTAATGTACTATGCATATTATATATTTTTTTTTTTACCAATGTTGACTAAACTTACCAAATCGCCCTCATATAATGGCAGGCAAAAAAGGTAAAAAAACAGCAGCAAAAATGTCCCTTATACAGTAGTATGTTCTGTAAAAAGTTGCTTTAACAATGGCATGACAATGTTTTCATTTATGTAGGACAATTATTGAATATCGACATCATAAGGATTTCCTGTAGTATAGTTGGCACTTTAGTATAATCACTTACTTTGGTAAAACCCCTTCTCAACTTCTGTTGTGATATATAAACAATATTCATGTAAAAAGCACCCCCAAAATTTATGATAAGCATCAACTGTTACAGATCTGTACAGTAACAGAAACACAAACAAACGTATTAGTAACACAGTAAAGTATTTAAAATCATTGGGATTTTTTAAAACTGGTATCCAATAAATAAATAAATTGTTTGATAAAATTATTCAAAATTTTAAAATTGCCGTCGATCTGATACAATTATTGCAAAGTCACATGACCTACCATAGCCATGCCCAAAATTAGTTTTGTTTAAAATGCTGGCCTGTTTAATGTTTCAGGTATTCAAATTGAATCTCAGCTCAGGTGATAAATCTTATGAAAATCATATAAGTCTTCTAATAAAGTTAAATCTCTTCAATAGTTGCTGTCCTTATTCCTGAAGGTAATCAACACATCAAGGTTGTCCCAGCCTTCTGTAGCCTACAATACATGTCTCTGGAATGCAGCTATCAATATCCTAAAAATAGTCCTCTTGGCTAAAATGTATCACAGGTTTAGTTACAAAAACTCCTAACTAAACGGAAACTAAAACTATCTAAAACTCAATACTATTAGCACTTAACAAATTGATAATTTGTGCTCACATCTGTAATAATATTATGTCGCTCCCCAGTGAATGAAAACATACCAACACAGTTTGGCATAGACAAGTCTCTGGGCTGTAATGAACCTTGGGTTACCAGGTATACAGTGAACTCTAAGCCAATACACCAGTATATAGTTATGTTGTTCAACACTACACTCTGATATTCTAACATATATACAAGCTGTCATTATCAACGACACTTCTTGCTCCCGTAGTTTACCATCTGGTATCCTTCTAGTAAACGCCCTCTACATGAAAATAGTATAATATGAAAGTGTAACATACATATATATGAAAGTAAAACATACATATATGAAAAACAGAAAAACAAGGTTACAGAAAATTGTACAATTACTGGTAGTGTAACTCTCTGGTAGACAACTTTTAGGGATATGGAAGATAAAATATGGTGAGACAGAAAACTTCCTTTGAGTATCAACTGATCATAGATTAACCCTTTCGCCACTCTAGACTGCAATGAACTCATCCAGATCAATGCAGGGTAAAGTTTACTTAAGTTATAAAGGGGTGAAAGGGTTAATGGAACTTATCACTGCTGTGTGATGTAGAAATCTCAGTCGGAGGGCAGGTTTATAATTTAGCCTGAGGTTTTTCTCCAGTGTCTAGACTTTCTCTACATCATACAGGAGCGATTGATAATTTTTCTTCAAAACTTTCATACCATGAAAGTAGAATGTAATGGTGAGCCCAATACCTCGCCACATTATCAAAGGTGTGCAAACACCGATCACACCACCCTGAGTAGGCAGCGTAAAGTAAGTGAATTCATGCGTGTGATCTCGCATCGGCAGCAATAAGCATACGGACATCCTAGTCCAGTAAGTACAAGAGATAACACATCTACACACACATATAATATATATATGTATGGGTATATGGGTTCATAACAGACAAAATAGTCCTAACAAGACAAAAATGTGTATCACAGAAATTAATTGTTCCAGTTGCACCGGGGTCACTGACAATTATATTTTACTACATCACTTAGGCATTTGACTAAGTTCACTTCCGGTTTTGAGGCCTGAAAAACGCAAGAAAATATGTATTCTATTTATGTCATGTTTCTGTTAATATCATGTTTTTCTCTGACAAATGGGTGGTGATATTAAGAGAAATCTACTGTACTCATCAACAACATAAATAATTGATCAATCTGTAACAGGAGGTCAGCAAGAGCTATCTACTGTCTAGGGCTACAGTCATCTGTAACAGGAGGTCAACAAGAGCCATCTACTGTCTTGGGCTACAGTCATCTGTAACAGGAGGTCAGCAAGAGCTATCTACTGTCTAGGGCTACAGTCATCTGTAACAGGAGGTCAGCAAGAGCTATCTACTGTCTAGGGCTACAGTCATCTGTAACAGGAGGTCAGCAAGAGCTATCTACTGTCTAGGGCTACAGTCATCTGTAACAGGAGGTCAGCAAGAGCTATCTACTGTCTAGGGCTACAGTCATCTGTAACAGGAGGTCAGCAAGAGCTATCTACTGTCCAGGGCTACAGTCATCTGTAACAGGAGGTCAGCAAGAGCTATCTACTGTCCAGGGCTACAGTCATCTGTAACCACAAAGGACTAACTACTGTAGCACTTCTCAAACATCTACTTCCATCAAAGGACTAAACAGTTTAGGATTCCCCAATCAAATGTTTCCATCAACAGACGAAGACCTTTAGAAGTCCTCAACCATCTGTTTTTGTAAAGTGATTACATTGTTTTTGCGATGTCTCGCCTTGCTTTTTTGCTCACACTTTCTTCTGTATCTGAACTTCGTCGCTTGTACGGCGTCAACTCAACATTTGCGAAGGTTCCACCCTGTAAAATATCAACATCAAACATTTAATCATATATATATATTCTAACCATTACATTATCTCCTGCCTACAGTCACGAGTATATTACAGGGTTTATGCCAGCTATTTTGGGAAAGGGTCCCTGAAGAAGAATTGGGAAAATATCATCGGCATTTGGTAAAAATTGGGAAATATCATCAGTATTCCAACATTTACAGGTTTGGGAAAATATCAGAAGTTTGGAAAAAATAAATCCTACAATGAGTTTAGCAGAACTTTTCCTCTAGCTGTTTCTCAGAGTAAATGTATAAAAATAAATAAACACATTAGTGTTTTAGTTTATTGAATTTTTGTTATCTATGTAAATTGAATGCTCCTTCATTGACTTATATACTTTGAACGTTGCACATATAATGATCGGAAACTTGTATAAACATGCTTATCAATCTAAATGGGAAATAAAGACAGAAATTATTGGGAAAGTACTTTTCCCCCCAAATGGGAATGGGTCCCTGTACCAGACCCTATAAACACCTGGCAAAAACCCTAGTGTGGTAGGCATATAACCATAATCAAAACTTTAGAAATACAGACCAAGAACAATCAACATTACACCTACACATCCTCACAAACATTCCTACACTCTCTGGATTGTGTTGAATAAATATATGTTTAAAGGGTATATATTATTCTATATACACTTTCATATTTAAAGTATAGCTGACAAATTCTGAAATATTTGAACATTTTCACCAGCCTAAAATAAAATCTACAAGCCCTGGGGGTCACACTAGTGGAATGGTATATACCTCTCCATGTTAGGAGCGACTCTTCACCTGAGCCACGCTGGAAAGTCAAATTTGCGTGATTTACTCCGGAAAAACAAATAAGCACCAAAATGTTCACATTCTGGGTGCTGTTCTCATAGCAAATGGACATTTCTCAAAGGCCAGAAAATAGAAATACCTACAGGCAGCTCTGTCTGCACAGTGATCGACTCGGGTAGGAAGTTTGCAAATATAACTGTAACTGCTGTGCTATGGGAATGAATACATGTGCAGACAGATGGATCCTGTTTGCATATCTTTGCTAAACAGGGGATAAATAAATTTCTTCATTCTGATGGCAACCTTATCATTCCTTAAAAAGATTATGTAGAGTTTTGAAGCAAAATTTTAATCATAGTACATAATACTCTAAGACATGGCAGTAACCAACCCAGGTACATAATACTCTAAGACATGGCAGTAACCAACCTAGGTACACAATACTCTAAAACATGGCAGTAACCAACCCAGGTACATACTACTCTAAGACATGGCAGTAACCAACCCAGGTACATAATACTCTAAAACATGGCAGTAACCAACCCAGGTACACAATGCTCTAAGACATGGCAGTAACCAACCAAGGTACACAATACTCTAAGACTTGGCAGTAACCAACCCAGGTACACAATACTCTAAGACATGGTAGTAACCAACCCAGGTACATAATACTCTAAGACATGGTAGTAACCAACCCAGGTACATAATACTCTAAGACATGGCAGTAACTAACCCAGGTACATAATACTTTAAGACATGGCAGTAACCAACCCAGGTACATAATACTCTATGACAGGGCAGAAACCAACCCAGGTACATAATACTGTAAGACATGGTAGTTAACCAACCCAGGTACATAATACTCTAAAACATGGCAGTAACCAACCCAGGTACATAATACTCTAAGACATGGCAGTAACCAACCCAGGTACATAATACTCTAAGACATGGTAGTAACCAACCCAGGTACATAATACTCTAAGACATGGCAGTAACCAACCCAGGTACATAATACTCTAAGACATGGCAGTAACCAACCCAGGTACATAATACTCTAAGACATGGCAGTAACCAACCCAGGTACATAATACTCTAAGACATGGCAGTAACCAACCCAGGTACATAATACTCTAAGACATGGCAGTAACCAACCCAGGTACATAATACTCTAAGACATGGCAGTAACCAACCCAGGTACATAATACTCTAAGACATGGCAGTAACCAACCCAGGTACATAATACTCTAAGACATGGCAGTAACCAACCCAGGTACATAATACTCTAAGACATGGCAGTAACCAACCCAGGTACACAATACTCTAAGACATGGTAGTAACCAACCCAGGCAATATTACTCTAAAACATGGCAGTAACCAACCCAGGTACATAATACTCTAAG